CCCAGGGCTTCATCATGCACACTGGGGAGGCACTCTCCCGACTGAGCTACATGCCCAGTCCTCCATATTTGTTTTGAAGATTAGGCAAAGCTAAAAGCATTGTACTCCTGGACGTGATGACAGCCTACAGTGATAAGCGACCTCACTGCATATATTACTGGAAAGTGAAGGAAGCGGAGGCCACTGGCCAAAGCCCTATATTTATAGAAGGTCTGAGCCAGAACTCAAACCTTTGGTTCCAGTCACAAGACCAATGTCTCACCCAGCATGCTGTCCCCTCTGTGTGAACTGGCTGCGGGAGCCAAGCGTCACTCTGAATCACTAAGAGCACACTGCCTCTTGCAATCACTGGGCTGGCAGGACAGCCTGAACTCCTCATTGAAGGATTAAAAATGCCAAGCACGTTTGAGTGTGGCCTTTGAGGAAACACGTTTAAAGACAGTTGGAACAGACGAGTGTGAAGTCCTTCGCACAGGAATTCTTCTCAGCCAAGCAGCTGGAACGGATGGACAGTGGGGTGCGCCTGTAGCTCTTTTATTTCTAAACTCCAGAACTTTCTTCCCTCGCACATTTTAGAAAGTAATTGTGAGCAGTGTGGCAGCCATCTCTAAGAATGAATGGTAAACTCAGCCTTCCTTTAGGGGGGATAAATAGCTCAAAATGCAGGGCTTTATCGGACAGACAATGTCAGCGTGTTCTAAGTGGATTTTGTTTCCTAATGGAGAACAAAGCAACTATGCTCGGCCTGCATGCATTAGCCACTGATTGCCCTTTGTGCTGACCTACCATACAGAACAGTGCTGGTATTATGGGGCAGGAGAGGTAGAGGCATCGTTCTATGTATTATCATCTTGTTTGCCTTAACAAACACAGAAGAAACAAAGACAGAAGTCAGCTTTCATGTACAGGGATGCTAGGCTGTGGGTTACCTCTGAAGACTGAAGCTGTAAAGGAGACCATGATCACTAACCAGAGGGAAGGATGGGAGGCAGATGTAGCTGCCTGATATCCACACCCATCAGCATTGCTAGGCCTCCTCAGAGCTGAAAGTGACTCCCTCCCACCTGCCGAAAGAAAGCGCATTTATGCCGAGTGGGTAGAGATGTCTAAATCATAAAGTCATTAGTGGTCAAGCAGCTCATTTCCTTGGGAGAACACGCCATTAGTCAGTTATTGACTCAAAGGCATTCACTACCCCCCCCACCCCCTGCCCCGTTGAGTCATTAAAAAATTCTGCTGTCTGATTTTAAAAAGTCTTGAGAGTCAACAGATTTTCAGCGAACACTTAATACAGTGCATCCCGTGCCAAGAACTGTGCGGGGAAAAGCCAAAAATACGCGAGGAGGGCTGATGCGATTTGTTAAACAGCAAAAAAGTGCACGTGTGTGTGTGTGTGTGTGTGTGTGTGTGTGTGTGTGTGTGTGTGTGTGTGTGTACCATGTCTAAGCAGGAGGGGTGCCCAGGAACTCGCCCTGGGGGGCAGGATTTCAGGTGGCTTAGTGTCTTTCCCTTTGCTAGGCTGCATGGCGTGAGTCATGTCAAGTGATCATATACTGCTTGAAAGGGCTTTCACAACTTGTTCTCTGTCTAGAAGTCATGCTGTCTGTCTACAAGAAGCTTCTGGGCTCTTGTTAGTAAACAGCGCAGTGAGGAGCAAGGCTGTCTCTGGGTTGAGGCTGGACTGACTTTGGGCAACTGCTGCTGCCATCGTTGGTTTTGTCTTCTCTTATTCAGTTTATCAAAACCACACTTCTACTGGGCAGGGAGACGGTTCAGTGGGTGCTGATGCTTGTTGTGAAGACAAGAGGACCCGAGTTCAAATCCCCAGGGCACACATAAAAGCCAGGCATAGCTGCACATGTCTGTAACCCAGCACTGGGGAGGTAGACAGGTTCATGTTAGGAGCTCTCACCTGGCTAACCAGCCTGGCCAAATCGGTGAGCTGTGTCTCAAAAAAACAAGATGGAGAGCACTAGAGGGAGACCCCCAGTGTCCTCCTCTGGCCTCCACATGCACATGCATGGGTACATGCACCAGCACACATGTGTCCATATCATGTACACAGATACGCTTATACCCCAAACAAATGGGCAAACCAAAAACCACGTTTCTCTGTAAATAATTAAAAAACCAAGCCTACATTCCAAGGCTGCTTCTTCTTCTTCTTCTTCTTCTTCTTCTTCTTCTTCTTCTTCTTCTTCTTCTTCTTCTTCTTTTTCAGTTTTTTTGAGACAGGGTTTCTCTGTGTAGCTTTGTGCCTTTCCTGGAACTCACTTGGTAGCCCAGGCTAGCCTCGAACTCACAGAGATCCACCTGGCTCTGCCTCCCGAGTGCTGGGATTAAAGGCGTGC